GTCCCCAGCCACACCATCTCTTGACGTAGTCTTCTCTGCCTCCATCTCAGGCCTCACCGCTTCTCTGAGTAGGATCCCGCTCTCCGCTTTTCTCTGTTGATGGTCCTAGGATCCTCCACTCCTAGACTGAAAAGCTCATCACTCCACTCTTTGCTACAAAATGTCCACCTTTAGATTTCCAACCCAGTTATGAGGTTTATTAACCATTCAAAGTTAGGTCAAATTTTTATGAGATGACCTTCCTGTCTAAGGGCATGAAAGTACACACTAGTGAAACCATATGCACTAATGTTTACAAAATAGAAAGCATTTTTATTCCAGAGCCATTGTGAGGCTATTTTGACAATGAAACCATCTACAAACCATATTTCTGGAGTACTGCACCTTTTATGGTTTGTTTGCACATCAATAACTTCTGCTGAAGCTCTTACGACACTGAAGTATTTTCCAAGATATTTTTCCTGATTTTAAATGGTAGTCAATATATTAAATACCCACACAAAAATAAATGACAAAAACACTGAAGCCAGGTTTAGTATCATGAAGACATTTTTATAACAATTAATAATTTATATTTGAAAGGGCTTAAAGGAAATAAAAACGGAACTATGAGGAATACATTTTGTTATAACATAGTATCAAATTCCTGCATAGATTATATACTTCAATAAGGGAAAATAATGTTTTTTCAATTCCAATAACATTCATTTTGTTTCGTCAGTGATTGTTATTGATGCCTTTTTTTGTTTCTTTTAGGTAATAAAATTGAGCACAGAAGTGGCTCTTTAAGCAGAGTTGATTTCCTTCTCAATATATTTTTATTCTCTGTGTAGGCTATTAAAATTTTAATTTTTAATTGCCTCCTTAAAAGAAGACATTATGAGAGTTTGGCATACGTATGATCTCAACTGAACAAATTAGATATCTCTGTTGTTGGTAGATAAACAGGCTTGTAGACGTTTTCACCCAAAATAAAATTCCTTACTACATTTTTACCTTCTTTGGTGCTGTGGAATAAAGCACGGGACCATAAGGTTGGTTTGAACCACAAAGTCAGTGGTTCAAACTCGCCAGCTGCTCCTTGGAAACCCTATACAGGGTCGCTAAGAGATGGAACTGACTGGAAGGCACTTAACAACAACAATATTGATTTTATATTGAATATGCCTAATACCCAAGTTTCATTCTTCTGTCCTGCAGATGTTTTCACAACATTAAATCCTCAGATATTTGTTTATGATTTCAATCAAGGAAAAGATTGCAGAAGTTATTTATTTAGGGATAGGCAATTATTTACTTGAGGATTTCTTGGAAAAGTTTTTCACACTATAGTCAGAAAAGCTTCATATAAAGTGTTTATTTGGATTGTATCCTTGAATTGTAAGGCTAATCTGCTCCTTTTTATTTTTTTCCTTAAGAAAATTTGATTTATAATGTTAAATTAAAATAATAAAAACTCAAAAAGATTGTTGTTGTTGTTGTTAAGAGTTGCTGAATCAGTTCCAACTCATAGCAACTTTGTATATTGTTTCCAAGAAGCAGTGGCTGGTTTGAACTTTCAATCTTGTAGTTAAGCAGTACAGTGCTTATCCTACAGTGCCACATCAGGACTCCACCAAAAGATATCCAGTCATAATCCCTGAAATCTGTGAGTAATATTTTATGTGAAAAAATAAGTTTTTGCAAAGTTTTTTTAAAATTAAAGATTTTAGGATAAGGAGTTTAACCTGGATTACCTTAGTAAACCAAATATAATCACATGTAAGGAGCTCTGATAGCGTAGTGGTTACGAATCGGGCTGTGAACCACAAGGTCAGCAGTTTGAAACTGCCAGCTGTTCCGCAGGAGAAAGATGAGGCTTTCTGCTCCCGTAAAGATTTATAGTCTCGGAAACCCTGTGCAGGGTCCCTATGAGTCAGAACCGACTCAACGGTACATAACAACAACAACAACAACAACAATCCTTATTAAAGGGTGCCAGAGGGAGATTTGACACATAAAGAAGATAAAGCTATGTAAAGTTGGAACAGAAAGAGATTTGAAGATGTGGGTCTTGAAGATTGGAATGGTACAGCACTCCTGGTGTGGTGCTGTAGGATAAGTGCTGGCCTATTAGTCACAAATTGATGGTTCAAACCCACCAGCTGCTCCTTGGAACCCCTATACAGGGTCGCTATGAGTCAGAACTGACTCGTCCACACTTAACAACAGTCACAAGCCAAGGAACACTGGTAACCACTAGAAGCTGGAAGAGGAAAGAAATGCATTCTACCCCAGAGCCAATGGAGGGAGTATGTCTCTCTCTACCCACACCTTGATTTTGGTTCAAGCAAATTTTAAAGCATCTTCTGACATTCATTTTGATCTTTTCCTTCTTTCTTGTTTTCTCAATGACTTTTTGCTCTCTTTCTGTATGATGATCTTGATGTCATCCCATAACTCTTCTAGTCTTCGGTCTTTCGTGTCTAATGCATCAAATCTGTTCTTCATATTATCTCTAAATTCAGGTGGGATATATTGGCACTGTGGGTTAATGAGCTAGACTGCAAAATCTATTTGGTACACAAGGTTGGTGATTCAACCTCACCAGCCACTCCTCAGATATACAGGGTCACTATAGGTCAGACCGACTCAACAGCACTTATCATATATATACATATAAATAGATATAGATACAGATATTTGTAGTTGTTGTTAAGTGCTGTCGAGTCAATACCGACTCATAGCAATCCCCGTATAGGGTTTCCAAGGAGTGGCTGATGAGCTTGAACTGCCGACCTTGCAATTCAAAGCAACTTTGCAATCCAGCGCATTAACCCACAGACTCCACATATATCAGTAAGTGTCGGCTAGTGAGTTCCAAATAGCGACCCTGAATAGGGTTTCTGAGGAGCAGCTGGTGGGTTTGAACTGCCAATCCTTGTGGTTCAAAGTCCAGTGCTGATTCTACAGCTCCACACCAGGAGTCCATAAGCACTTGACCACAAGGTCAGTTTGAGCTGCAAGGTCAGTGGTTCAAATTCACCAGTTGCTCCTTGAACATCCAATAAGGGGTTGTTTTGATATGTATATTTTGATATATCTATATCTATATTTATATAGATATAGATATATCAGTAGTGAGGAAAAAATATATGTATTATACATATATTCTGCCAATGTTACAGTTCAAACTGACCTTATGGTTAAGTGCTTATTCTACAGCACCACAGAACATGCATATAACAAAAACTGTTGTAAGATACTTTTTTTCATTTTCTGTGACTGCTATATATAATAAGTCACCAAACTTACTGGAATGAAATAACATAAATTTAGTTTATCAATGTTCTGGAGGTTACAACCAAATCTGATATAATGGATCAAAATCTAAGCGTTGACCTCCACACACTCCCTCCAGTGGTTCTGGAATAGAATGTATTTCTTGCCTCTTCAGCTCAGTTGAAAATTAGCAGAGGGCACTTAACAACAAAATATGTATATATACATATGATACTGTTGTGACACTATAGGAGAAGAACTGGGCTACAGTTCAAACCCACCAGCTGTTCCTATACAGGGCTGTTATGAGTCAGAACCAACTTGACAGCACTTAATAACTCCAACGCCACACCAGAAACACACACACACACACACTGTAGATACATACATATTTTTCACTCACTACTAAAATTTCCGTGCCTGCCTGTAAACTCCCCGAATTTGTCAATAACCACTCTTATTTCTCAATTTTAGTAGTTTGGTCCCTATTAGGACTAGTGCAATTATAATAAAGTTTAAGAAAACGGATAGACAAGATTACATATATTTTACATATGCAGGGCCAATAAGTTAGAAAACGTAAGAACTAGTTCAAGGATTAATTGTAATAATATATATTTTAAAATGTAATAATAATATAAAGTAACAATTATAGCTTTTCCAGATTTACACAAATCAAATAGCATTGTTCTTTGCATGACAACTATAAAATATCATAAATTATAAGCCAAAAAGTGATGGCTATATGTATATATTATATCTTTATAAATTCTTATCCAGCCAACTAATATACATATCTCTTATCCTAAGACCTAGATGTAAATAAAATGGTGAAGTCATGTATGATAAAGCTCCATGGATTCCATCTTCAATATGGTCATGAGTGACTGGAACTCCAGCATTTCGAAGTCGTGTGACATACATAAGTCCATCATCTCTTAAGATATCATGTTGACAGGTAATAATATAAGTTGATGGCAAATTCTGTAACAGTGAGTCATTGGCCAACAAGGGTAATGCTCTGTTATCCGTAAGTCCTGGTAATGAATAATTAGATCTTCCAAGAATTGGTTCCTTATAAATGTGATCCTTTCTATATTTCTCAGGAAGTAGGGTACTCCAATTAACAAGCTTGAACAAATGCCTTGATTCCAGAGGCATATGTTGGTTTTTTTTCATTGCCTGGGGAAGGGCTTCATCCTTGGTGAAATACAGACTCACAAGTTTTATGGCTATGTCCCGTGTCAGAACTACACCATGCTCATTTTCTAGGTGGGATGGCAATTGAGAATCAATTACCTGTAAAGCTGGGTAAAGTAAAGCTTGTATCTTGATTTTATGTTTTATTTCAGGATGATTCTGCATCTGAAAAATACCAAGATATTCTGTAAGGCAAAGAACACCAAAATACCATAAAAATGAAATTAAGTTTTAATCTTGTGAGTGATTATGGAGTTTAAAATAAAACAATTTATAAATTGATGTGATAACTATAATTAATTTCACAGTATTTATAATGTCTTTTTGTAAAATGATAAATGCCAACTGAACTCCAATGTTAAAATTTCTTTTTTAAAAATTGTGTGAGAAAGACGGCTGCATTTATAAAAAGGACGTTCATTTATAAAAATTACCATGAAAGCAATCTACAATATTCCTGGAAAATTTGACAGTAAATGTAGGTTAGTAAAAAAAAATTTTTTTTTGCTGGTTGTTGTTGTTATGTGCCGTGGAGTCGGTTATGACACATAACGACCCTGTACAGGGTTTCTGAGGCTGGAAATCTTTACGGGAGCAGAAAGCCTCATCTTTCTCCCACAGCACAGCTGGTAGTTTCAAACTGGGGACCTTGCGATTCGCAACCTGATTCGTAACCACTACGCAAGAGTAGTCAAATACATGGAACAACAACAACAAAAATAAGCATTAAAATAATGTCATCATGACAATTAGGTAAAAGTTTCCAACATCATGCTAAAAATGTTAAGAAATATTATAGAAATGCAAAAGTTAAATTACCAAATTGGAAAAAAAAATGCAATTATTTACAGGTAACTTATCTTCTAAGAGATTAATACAGTGTTGGGGGGTACCTATAAGATATGTAAAATCTTGTTGATATTCAAATCATTTGAAGTTCAATGGAAAAATGTGGACTAGTTGATTAGGAACCCCCTTTCCTTTCTAGAGATAATGAGGATGTTGAAACCTGTACCATTAGGTACAATAACTGTCATCCCCTTTCCCCGACTCTGGCCCTACACACTACATGAAAAAAGCATAGAAATAATCTTCTAAGAGCAATTTTCTCAGCTGAGATTAGCATTTACGACAACGCCACCTAGACAAATGGAAATATTTGTTAGAACTCCAAGTAAAAAGCTCAGGATCTAAGGGTTTGTCTCTAAGTCAAGAACTCACCAAGGTAGCTGAGTGAGTCCTTAGGTGAATCATCTACCATATTTTAACACATACTTGTAAGCATATATGTGTGATTATACATTGAAATGCCTGATTACATTGAATGCCTCTTTTTCTAAATATCTCTAAACTACTAAGATTACTTACCTCTTATAAATAAAGGCCAATTATTACTTTCTCCTTATAATGTATGTGATGACTCTTTCTACTTGATTTTGGATTCCACAAAAACTGACATAATCCCTAAGTTATCAACGTATCCTTCACTAGGCCTACCATACTAAAAATGAATCGTGTGAAAAAGATAATAGAAAAATAAATGAATGAATCAGTATTGCTCTTCAGTTTATAATTATTTTAATAGCACACCATCCTTGGTTGTAGAAATTATATGCAAGAAGTAATAAAAAATATATAATAATTAGGACCCAACCATAAAACTGGATTACTGAACTATCCATAACTTAGTTCTTCTTACTTACATAAGCCAGGCTTACGAGAGTACTAAGGTACAAATAAAAGTCAATATGGAATCACAACAAGCCCTGAATGGACTATTCAGTAAAATGTTGTGGCACTTTTGGATATGCACTATGCAGCTAACTGCAAGGCCATCAGTTCAAACTCACCACTCTCCTCGGACACCCTGTAAAGAGTCACTGTGAGTCAGCACTGACTCAAAGGCCCTTAACAACAACATAACAATAAGTACCTGAATCCCAAAACTAAATAAAGAAATAAAGAATTATAAGATATTCATTTTAAGATGATATTGCTTTAGAAATACAAATTTTAAAAATAAGCAGTCAAAACTGTTCAAATACATACTTAATTCATGGTAATGCGATTTAGGAGGAGCCTTGGTAACAATGGATTGTGTGCTGGGTCACTTACCAAAATGTCGGCAGTTAGAATCTACCACTTTTTCCAGGGGAGAGAGATGAGGCTTTCTCTTCCCATAAAGATTTATAGCCTTGGAAACCCAATACAGATCACTGTGAGTTAGAACTTGTTGCAGACCGTGTAATTCTAGTCAGAGGTTCGAGGCCCTCTAGGGCCGAGTGTAACAAATGAGGCCACTGGCAGTTAATGGCAAATTAATATTCAGATATATATATTAAATTAATACACTGGAGCCTTTGACAATCCACAGATAAATGTGGTATTTTCCTAAAGCCGAGACTAAAGGTTGCAAGGTTAAGCCTTTCTCCAAAGGATTAACTAAAAATGTCTTAGCTACTTCACAGTTCTTTGTTCCATAGACAAAGAACCCATCCTCCCTAATCCTTTTCCAGGTGCAGCCCATTCACCTGGGCGTCTGGAGTCCTCCTGCA